TGATTTGAAAATGCTGATTTTTTAATCTGTTTCCAATGTAATGATTTCATGGGTGTGTTGTGAGAAGCTTGTTGCTTGCTAAATTCCTATTGGCTTTAAAAATTTTCTTAATTTAGCAAAGACATCATGCAAGTGCACATGGTTAAGAAGTAATATAATAGTAAGTGAGTATCGTCTCCATAAGGAATTGTATCTAAATTCTTGCTAAGTACTAAAATTTGGCACTTAATCTTATCCAAATAAGTCTAATTTTGAAATTAATTGGACCTAAAATTAAAGTAACAAAGCTAAACTAATGAATTAATGCTAAGAAATTTTTAGAGGTTTAGTGAAATAGAACCTAAGACTATGGATTACTCTACTTTTCATTTAGATTTAATTTTACTCCTTATACTTATATAATTGGGTTGGTTGCTAGTCTAGAGTCCAAATTTATCTACAATTCTTTATCAAGATATTGTAAGCATACCTACTTTAACTAATTTTCTTTATGTCTATGTAAATTAATTAAAATAGGTTCGTTAAGCTTAGACCTTAATCTTGGATGCACATGATATTTAGGAATATTTCTATCCTCCATACAAATCAAATCACCTAAGCTGTAAGTGAAGTGAGCACATGCTATTCAAATCCTTGGTCTATTCTAAATTCCCCTTGTCAAGTTGCATTTGGAGATCCAACTCAATCTAATTATTGATCAAGTAATTAGAAGCAAAAAGCATAGATTTGAAATAAACAACAGAATACCCATTAATATTAAGTATAAGAAAGTTGAAATATCCAAACTACAAGTAGAGATTAACTACAATCCTAGGTTAAGAGTCATAGCTTAATATATTCAAAAGACAAATACACATTTCAACAAAATGAAACATTGTTCTACAAAAAGAGTTAGAGAGAGAAAATCAAATTTAGAGTGAGAAAGTGTTTGGTGTAGCTATTTGATGCTTCCAAGCTCTTGATTCCTCTTCCTTTTTCCCTTTTTGGTTCCAGCCTCCTTTTACCCAAATTAGTGTCTGAATCTTCTTTTTTTTTTTTCTTTCTGCCCTAAAAAGTTTGTATTTACACCCTCTTTGTTGGCCATTTGATGTAAAATCAGATGGCCAATAATGTGCAATCACATTTCGGCACCTAGGCACTCAAGGGCTGGCAGCAAGGCACCCAAGGTTCTGTCCTTGGCCTTTTTAAGGTTCTTGGTAGCACATTCGGTGCGTAGGTGCTGAAGTTGCTATCCACACCGAATGCAGTCTATTGCAGTCAATCAACTTCCACCACATTTTTGACCACGATCCTTTATGAACTGGGTAAAGTGCTGGACACCAAAGTTATAGCTCTTCCACTTATCTTTCCATAGGTTTAAGAATAGTATCGATTGGAGTTTTGTAGCTTAATATATGCTTCAATTCCTACAGCATGGTGTAAAGTCAGCTTAAGTAAAAGGGCATGATCTTTTCCAAATTCGACCTCCAAGCTCTTTTGCATCTTCACCAACATATAGCAGAATCAATCAAAAGTATAAACAAGACTTAATAACATGGAAATAAACTCAAATTACTTACCTAAACTACTAAGGCATGCATAAAGTAAATACTAAGAAAAATATAAAAATAAGGTCTAAATTGATTAAAAACAAGAGGACAATACTCATATTTGGGCTTAAAAGAATGTAAGATAACTCTTTAAAATAGAGTTATTAAAGCTTTGACCATAGGACAAATTGGTATTTTCTTAATGAATTTGACAATTTGAAGAAAATAATTGGTGATATTGTTGTTATGCATACCTTTGGTGAAGCAAACACATTTGTGATTCTCTTACTAAATTTGGTGTTGACCAAGCTGAGACATTTTATGCGTGATGGTAATTTAAGATAGTGTTTCGGATGGTTACTTATCATTTTTGGCTTAAATTTTTTTTTATCTTCTTTAGGTGTTTCTGTTTGTTGTTTAGTTTGTAATCTTGAGCATGAAGATTTAACGTTGTAATAACTCTTACTATTAATAAATCCTTATTTTGATTGAGAAGAAAAAGAAAAGGTTGTCACATGATGTTTCGAATAAATGCTTTTAACTTGACGGGAAACTGCTGTCCAAGGCATTTTCTTATAAAATTATTTTTCCAGAATTAGTAAAAACAATAACATTTCAAGATAAAACAATTATATAGGAATCATTGTTTAGAGAGATGGTTACGTTTTGATTATGTCAATGCTCTATTTTTTATGACCTTAAATGTTAATGGATAAGAAATACAAGTCATTTTAAAAAATTCATTCTGCTAATAAATCTAACTAAGTAACAATAAGATATTTGGATGAAAACAAAATATCATTTATTTTGCATGTCCAATTTATATGTTGAAAATCTAAGAAGAGGCAAAATCAATCTACTTAATTATGAATGAAAATCCCTCTATCCCCATCCTCTACCCTACTCACAAAAGCTTGTCAGATAACATAGCAAATAAATTTTAACTTAAGAAGAATGCTTTTCGAATTGAAAAAATTTTAACTCAAGAGGAAACTACTATAAAAGGCAATTTTTTCTAAAATAATGCTTCAAGATTTATTAAAAACAATAAAATTTCAAGATAGAGAAGTTATAGTGGAATCATTGTTTAGAGAGATTATTAAGTTTTCATCATATCAATGCTCCAACCTTTTTCTGTGACCTTAAAAGCTTATGGACAAGAAATATGAGCCATTTTAAAAAAAATCATAATGCTGATAAATCTAATTAAGTAATTATGGGAGATTTGGCGACGATGGAAAGTCATTTAAAAGAAGAGACTTGTTCCTTTCTTTTTTGTTTTCTTTTTAATGAGTGTGCAAAAGAGAAGTGAGAGAAAGAAACGAGAGGGCAAAGGAAAAACCTTTGTTTTTGTCATGTTAAAAAGATTTGAGCTAATGGGGCACATTTAAGAGACAAAAGATTTCCATTCGTTAATTACCAGATTTCATGTGTATTGTATATTGTTGTTGTGTGAAGAAATTATCAAATAGTATGTATATATAAAAATAATTAATTGGGGAAAAGATATGTTAATTAAAAAGAGATCATACGAAGTTAACAACTGAAAAAGCTCAGGCTAAGCCTAACTAGACATCAACAAGATCACGAGGAGACGCAACACTAAATTGACCAAATCTCAAATTAAAAAAGAAAAAATAACTGTTACAAGATACAAACAATTGGAGTAACGAGCTATTCACCAAAAGAATCAACAAAGTCGGACTCCATTTTTGTGACTCTTTCTTTTGTTCAGTTTCTATTGATAGCGCAAGATGAGTCGAAATGATATCCATTCTTTTCATTTTCTCTCTTCGATCAAAATTGTATGATCTAAATGATATAAAAATGACAGATTAATCCATATGCCGTCTCCCAAAAGAAAATCAAAATCAAAATAAAGAAAATGTAGCAAACTAAAGAAAATGTAGCAAACTAAAGAAAATGTAGCCATGAAGTATGAACCCTAATCTAACGATTTGTACATACTCCATTAGTAGAGGAACAAGGTACGTCTGAAGGTACGTTGGTTGAGCGCCATGTAAAGCAAGAAGATGTTAAGGAAAAGCAAAACCCAGGAAGACATGGGCGGATCATGGCTAGAGAGATGAGTACCACAGTCGACTGAAGAATTATAAGCATTCAAATTCTTGGTGGTAGATGATGAAGAAAAGCAATGCACGGCAATCACCAAAAGCAATGTTGTGATGAGAAGGAGGGCCCACCTTGAGCCGCCCAGTTGGGGTTTCGTGGTTTCAACAGCTGAGTGGACAGAGAAGCGCATAACCGCCAAGATCACTGCTAGAGTTGCCATGACCGGGAATGGCACTGGCTCTTGGTATAGCATCTCTAACATGCTACACGATTTGCTTACCTTGTTAATGTAACTGTAACTCACCACCATTAACAGGAACAAGAGAATATGGCAAAGGTGCAACTCTTTCTTGAGTTTTCAAGGTAGATTATGCAGAGGCGGCGGAGTCTCTCTTATTGATGGTTGGAGTCGGTTAATATGTTGTAATCCCGATCCGAATTTGAATTCTTAATGTGATCCGCCGTTAAGTTTCTTTTTAAACAACTAACATAATCTTAATTCAAAATGATAATACAGTTACCTCTATTTACTAAAAAGTAATGAAGAATATTTTTTATATATAAAAAAAAACTAAGAATAAAAATACAACAATTAGAAAATACCCTTACCTACTACATCATTAGAAAACACTTAAAAACACACTTAATACAAATATCACTCTTAATAGTAAAACCTAGTTTTCCTTGATGTGTTCACTGATGAGCCAAAGATAAGATCTTATTCTCTTGTTATAAAATCAGTAACGAATACCAAGCATAACCCATGTTTTCCTTGGTAGAACAACAGGATATCATGGATGATAAACTATCTTCTTGGTACATTATCGACATCATGAGATCTGACATTTTAGTGTAATTTATAACCACCCCAAAATGGCCCTAAAAACTTAAAATAAAAAAGCTAAATTATTCTCCAACTTCTCTAAAATTTCATGAACTCTTTTGATATAAAACCCCACTACCCATCAATAAAATTAGACAAGTGTCATGTATAGATAAATTCTGTAGGTTAAAATCATTATACTTTAGATAAAAAAAATTACAGCATTCTAATTTATGACATTTCTCAATTTGATTGAGGATTTGAGAAAATTTTACACATTTCAAGTTTGTTGGCCTTTTTTTTTTTCATTGGGGTTGTCTACCTGGTTCAAGAACAAAAGACGGATAGGCGATTCCCAGTTTTCACTCGTTGATACTCAATTTTTTCTTTATTTATTCGACACATGTATTGATGTGTTGTTTATGTCTACCATATTAATAAGACAACGAGTTCAGCAGCCGAAGCCAATTGCCACAGTGTCCCTTAACTGTTCACAATCCCTTCCTCAAGAGCTCAATGCCTCTCCAAGTGTTTGTTGTATCACTCGAATACTTGTTACCCAAAGACAAGGTCAATTAGTCTACGAGATTATCATAAAGCAGACATTGGAAATGATGCATGGCCTTCTCAACAGTTGGAGCATATCTTCCACTGCAATATGTGGGTGATTCGATACCCCTTTGAACACCTTCACAAAGTGCAATGTCTTCCATCTGCATATTTTCATCCATATTTTTGTTACACAAAGAATTTGAAGGTTCCAAGAATGACAGTAAATTTTTAACAGACAGAACTAGAGATCAATTGCTCGTACCTGCACTCTTTCGCTATCCACAAAACTTCTCTCCATGGAAGCATTGTCATCCTGAGGCCAAAAAAAGCGCTTGGTTAGATTGGAATTGTTTTCTTTCTTATCTGGGACGATATAAAGCTAATCATGGCCCAAAGTCATTGCATGATAGAGAGGGAGATTAAGCTAGATGCCTAGTATAAGGATTACTGATAAAAGGATCATATTACTGTATAGAACATAGAACAAATGTTTCATCATCATAAGATTCAAAACAGATCATGAAATTGAGAAAATGTGCTCCCCCCAGTTAATAAAATTGAGAAATAATACAATTTTATGGATTGGGACAATGGCTGCAACCATAGCTTACCAACACAAAGAAATCGAGTTCAATGTTCTCCTCCCCTAATTTAAAGCAAACTACAATTCTACAAATTTGAGAGATGGATGAGGATGATTACTATATAAAGGTAAAGCCTTTTGACTGAGTATATCACATGGCTGCCACTGTTAGGAGGCTTCATAAGGGTGTGAAGTCCACCATGTGATATAATAAGTCGAAGGGATTTATTTAGACATGTGTGCATGCTCACCTGCACTCAAATCATAGATACATAACCCTTATGAAGTGTCCTAACAATGGCAACCATGTGATATAATAAGTCAAAAGGCTTTTAAGTTTTTGTGGTTATATATTGTGATTATATGATGCATAGAAGGAAATGGGAATGCTGGTCACTATTGACGTATTTATTTAGATAGACATGAACTTTCAAATGCCATGTCATACAGAAGACAATATATGGAAGGCTAAGATATAAGATATTAAACCTGAAGCATTCCTTCTGAAACAACATTACCTATACATCAACTTGGTATAAGACTATAATCCAAAATTATGTAGAAATAGAAGCATGCAATTTAGTACGATTGCAATATTCAGAGGTCAGGACATAGAAGTACAGTAAAAATTTTGTAGTATATAATAACTTCATAACTCTTCATTGCAAACGCATTCTTGAGATTTTAAATATTTGCCTGCCAAAAGTGAAAGGAAGTTCACACGTAAAGCATCTAATGATATTTGACGACATTAAAGGGTCTTCATGCAATTTCAACTCGAAAGTAGAAAACAATTTTAAAGGAGCACTATTTATAAATGTTAACTTTATTTTTTTTCATCTAGATTATTAAGTATAGGCATTAAAGTTACTGAGCCTACAAAGACAACACAACTACCCATATGAGGAAAATAACTTGAAATCTCAATTTGCTAAATATTACACAAAGAAAAAATAATAAATGGGATAAAGTGTTTGAGACAAACAATTTCATTTTACAAGACAAAAGATCAAAGTAGCATTCAGCGAAAGCGACGCTTTTGTTTAACAAGCTATGGTCTCAATGCCCTTACGAGGCAGTGATGAGTTTCTATTATAAAAAAAATTATGGGAAACAAGAAATATAAAATAAAATAAGTAAAAACAGGAAGAGAAAGTCTGAGGCATGGTATCACTGTCCTTAAGGATAATTTTTACCTTTTTCGAGTATAAAACTCAGTGCAAAAGGACTATAGCAGTTATCCTCTAGAATTCAACAAACCCTTATTTAGTAGTTTGCACAAACAATTAAGGGATGACGAAAATAGTAAAAAGAAAGAACCCAGCTAGAGAAGAAAAGAAGTAGAGAAAATATGCAGAGAAAGCTTAGAAGATGAAAGGCATTGGTGTGTATTGTGACAGAGGGTGTAGGGCTATATTTATAGGGAAGGAATGAAGTGAACATTGTACTACATCAAGGAGTTGAGAAAAAGGCTCAAGGAGTTGGAGAAAAACCTGGTTAGCTTTATACTGAGTCAAGTAGACATTGTAGTACTTAGTCAGATAAACGTTGGAGCAGAACTAGGTAAGCTAGGTAGAGTTTGAGTATGATTCAATCAAAGGCTGAAAATTTTAAAAGAATTAATGCCCAGGTACAAAAATTCACGTAGACACAGCTTACGCGTATATTCACGCATAAGGGGAAAATCTAAAATTTCTCAAGGTTTGGCCCTATCTTATGTGTGTGCTAGCCCACTCCATTTTCCTTGCTTGCAACAAGCTCATAGTTGGTTTTCATGTATAAAGCATTCACCTTTCATGTATCTTGGTAATGTGGGATGTTTGAACCTTATGAAATACACTATTTTTCAACAATCCCCTGCATATTTCGTAAAGTTTTATAAGAAGTTTTGTTGGGTCAAACTTCATTTGAGTGTATACATCATGACTAGTGCTTTTTAAGCTATGAACCACCCCTAGAAAGAATGAAACATAAGCCATAGAATTTTGGTGAAGTTTGTAAGTTATATGAACCAAAATTCTTTATGTGAAATATAATTTTCATCAATCACATTACATCCCCACAATTTCTGCTGTTCAACACAATTTTATGCAAATAGGCCATGCGTGTGCATAGTTATTCATAAGTGTTCTAGAGAATTTGCCATAATTCTCATAGAAGCGGCCCCACTCCACATTTATATAGGTTGATTCCATCAAGTGTACACTATAGTATAATACACTACCTATAAGGGATATGGAATGCATTAAGAGTTTAGCTCAACCTCTCTTGCATTGTAGTTTTGCATTATTCACACACCATAAGAGGGACAATAATTTCAATAGTGTATTAATTTATCAACAAATAACTTGTTATTACCTATATGAGCCTAATTCATGGGATCTCCAATCACATAGGTTGGGTTACCATTATTTGTTGATTTCCTTATTAAGCTTAACTGACATTTCCCTCGATGTAACATTAATTAATTTTCTTCCCAAGGGTTTAGTTAGAGGATCGGCCAAATTCAGTGTTGACTTCACATAATCAATGGATATAACTCCATCTCTAAGTAGCTGCTTTACTACTTCATGTCTTAAATGAATATGTCTATTTTTACCATTGAAAGTTTTATCTTTACAATGGCTATTACCGCCTGGCAATCACAATGCATAGACATAGAAGGTGTTGGTTTCATTCCCAATTAAATATCTACTAAGAGGTTTCTCAACCACTCAACCTCATTTCCAACCAACTCTAAAGCTACAAATTCTGACTCCATTGTAGATTTAGAAATTATTGTTTGTTTGGCTAATTTTTAAGTTATAGCACCCCCACCAAGGGTGAATACATAACCACTCGTGAATTTCGTCTCATCTGAATCTAAGATCCAATTAGCATCATTGTATCCTTCTAATACAACAAGAAATCCATTATATAAAATACTATAGTTTATGGTACCTTTCAAATATTTCATCACTCTGGTCAAGGCAGTCCAATGATCTCTATTTGGACTTTGTGCATACCTGCTCAGTCTACACATAGCATAAGCTTTATTTGGTCAAGTATAATTCATTAAATGCATCAAACTCCCAATAATCTATGCATACTCAAACTGAGCTACACCATCACCTATATTTTTCTTTAAATAGATACTACTATCATAAGGAGTACTCACAAGTGTGACATCAAATTGTCCAAACTTTTTAAGCAGCTTGTCAACATAATGCTCTTGTGTTAGCATTCAGCCACTATCAGATCTTATAATTTTAATACCCAATATAACTTTAGCTTTTCTTAGATCTTTCATATTAAATTTAATAGCTAAAAATATTTTGTTTTATTGGTCACATTAATGCATGTACAAAAAATAAGCATATTATCAACATATAAGCTAATAATCACACATTCACTATAAACAGTTTTTGTATGCACACATTTATCAACTCCAACAGTAGAAAATCCATTACTAACAAAAACATAATCAAATTTCTCATGCCATTGCTTTGGTGCTTGTTTCAAGCCATATAATGATTTTATCAATTTACAAACTTTGTTTTCTTGACCAAGAAGAACACATCCCTCGAGTTGTGCCATATAAATTTCTTTTTCTAAATCGCTATTTAAAAAAGCAATTTTAATCCATTTGATGAACAACAAGTTTGTAAATTGAAACTAAGGCAAATAAAACATGAATTGATGCAATTCTTATTACTGGAGCAAAAGTATCAAAATAGTCAATATTTTGTTTTTGAGTAAAACCTTTTGCAACTGATCTTGCTTTGTATTTATCAATAGACCTATCAGGATTAAATTTTCTATTAAAAATCCATTTGCAACCAATTGGTTTGGCTCTAGGTGGTAAATCAACTAATTCCCAAGTTTGATTTTGTAAAATTGAATCAATTTCATTTTGTATGGCTTCTTTCCAAAATAAACTTTCTTTAGAAGAAATTGCATCAGCATAAGTTAAAGGATCATTATTTACAGCATAAGTATAAAAATCATTATCAAAAGAAATTTCTTTCCTTGGTCTTTTACTCCTTCTCAAATCATTATTTTGTATTTCAAAATCATTCTTACTAAAAGGTGCATGAAAAATTGTATTAGTTCTTAATGGAAAAATATGCTCAAAAAATTCAGCATTTTTTGTTTCAACAATTGTATTATAATCAAGAACATTACTTTTTAATACAAGAAATCTATATGCAACATTATGTTTAGCATAACCAATAAAAGTGCAATCAAATGTCTTAAAACCAATTTTTCTCTTCTTAAATTCAAGAAGCATTACCTTAGCTAGACACCCCCACATTTTCAAATATTTTAAATTAGGAGAATAACCTTCTCATAATTCATAAGGTGTCTTACTAGTTTTCTTATAAGGTATTCTATTTTGAATATGACATGCAGATAATAAAGCTTCACCACACAAATTTTCATATGCACTAGCACTGACAAGCATAGAGTTCATCATTTCTTTTAATGTTCTATTTTTCCTTCCTACTATACCATTTAATTTAGGAGAAAATGGAGGAGTAATTTCATGAATTATTTTTTTTTCATAAATATTATTAATCGGTATATATTCACCCCCTCTATCAAATCTAACTCTTTTTATCTTTTTATTCAGTTGATTTTCTATTTCAACTTTATATTTAATAAATATGTCAAAAGCTTCATTTTTATACTTAAGTAAATAAACTTTAGTAAATCTAGAATAATCGTCAATAAATGTAACATAGTATTGCTTACCACCTTTAGTCATAGTTTGTTTTAGATCTCCTAAGTCAGTATGTATTAAACTTAATAATTTAGATTCTCTATTTATTGAAATACAAATTTTCTTAGTTGATTTCGTTTCAACACATATCTCACACTTATTAAAGCATCCATTTTTAATACTAGAAATTAAACCAAGTGATTTCATTTTCTTAATGTAAGAAATGCTAATATGTCCTAGTCCACCATGTCATAAATCAATAGAATCAATCATGTAAGCAGAAGAACTAGCATTTTCATTCAGAACTTTGGAAATGTTAAGTACGAAGAATCCCTAATTGCAATAACCCTTACCTACAAACATATTATTTTTTATCATCATGATCTTGTCAAATTCGAATAACACTTTCACCCAACCTTGCCTAATAAGGCCACAAATACCAAGTTTGCCCTTATATTGGGAACATGAAGAACATCATTTAAAGCTAGGGTTTTGCCAAATGTGAGCTTGATAAAGACTTTCCCTTTACCAAGAACTTGAGCAATTCGAGAATCATCAAGGTATATTGTCTCTTTTCCTTCCCCTATTGGAGTATAGGAAGTAAAGGTATTTCTGTTTGCACAAATATGCTTGGTAGCACTTGAGTCTATCACCCATTCCTTCACACTGGTCACCATATTTGCTTGTGAAATGACCATAGCAATTACATCATTTGATTCATCTGCTTTGATCAAGTTGACTCTTTGATTAACAAGTTTGTCATTTCCCTTTGCTCTTTTTCTGTATTGTGCTGCATGATGCCCTAGCTTTCCACAACAAAACAACTACCTTTCTTTTTAAGAATCTTCCATTAGCAACTGAGACACACCTTCTAGTTACAAGCAATGATGTATTCATGTCTACAAACATAAGCTAGTGGGGAATCAACCATTGAGGCTCAATATTTTTGAGCAACTACTAAGCCATTCACTAGCAAAGCTGTTAGTATCAATGTCATTCTTACGAAAATCTCCTTCTCCATATTGAGAAGCACAAATGCTCCCCAAGTAGCAACTTTTACTGGTATAAGTCCAAATTCCTACCATCAATTGCAACAGATATCAACCAAGGTATCCCATTAATTGGACATATATTACTATTGAACTAACAAGAAGGAAACAATTATATTAAGTGCACAACAGCATGCATTTCCAATGAAATCTTGTATTCCTAAAATTGTATTTACCTTACAAGGTGCTCCATTTAACCCATACGTCTATCCTTGTACAAAAAATTGGATATCTAGTAAGTAAACTGATTGTCATCTTAGCAGTAAATGGGAAGTAAAGGATAATACTTGATTTATAGTTCTCCATTTGATGTTTTCAATCACCATCAGAAATTTTGCACATTTTAATTTGCAGAAGAGCATAATTGGTGGGTTGATGTTGTTAACTTGTAATGCTTGCATCCACGTGGGCATAAAAGTATATGTAATTCACTATGATTATGTGCAAAAATATGAGTCTTTTGCTTAAACTCTATGACTCTATGTGTTACGCTGCATGAAGTTGTTTTGTTAAATGTTTTACACTAGTTAATGGGTCAATAACAAGTATTAGTGTTTAATTACTGTTGTATCACTTGATATATATGTGCTGTTTTTATCAATGTGAATATAAGACCTTATTCATTAATAATAAAGTAATTTTGTTCACCTTTGTTCTACTTCTTTTTAATAAAGTATTATATTCTTCTTTGTTGCTAACATGGTATTAGAGTACCCTTTGAGGTCTTGAAGGACTGTGGTTAACTTCAAATAAGTTTGCTCTTCTGAGTTTGATAGCTTTAAAAACCCTCAACAAGTTACTTGAAAATTAAATGGCCACCACCATGACAGCAAGCCATCTAGCTCTTCCTCTGTTGAATGATGATAATTATCCCTCATAGTCAGTAAAAATGGAAGCTGGTCTAAGAGGCTACAACCTTTGGGATGTGATTGAGTCTAGAGTTGAAATCCCTCCCTTGAGGGATAATGCAAGTGCTACTCAAATTAAGCAATACAATGAAGAGATTGCAAAGAGGTATAGGGCACTATCATTCATTCATGGATCCGTTATTGAACTCATATTCTTAAGGATCATGGCATACAAGTTAGGAAAAGAAACTTGGGAAAGTTTAAAGTTGCATTCCAAGGTTCTGATCATACTAGACATCAATAGGTGATGAATCTGATACAAGAGTTTAATGCTCTCAAAATGAAAGTTACTGACAGTGTGAAGGATTGTATAAACAAAGTGGAGAAGATTGTAAACTACATTACAATTCTAAGAGGCAAATTACCAAAGGATCGTGTGGTGGAGAAGGTGCTTATAAGCTTTCTTGAACGATTTGAATCCAAGATATCTTCTTTAGAAGAAACCAAGGTTTTTTCCAAGATAACATTGATAGAACTTGTCAATGCACTGCAGGCAATGAAGAACAGGAGAGTAATAAAAAATGATGAGAATGTTAAGCATGCATTGATTCTTAAGATAAAGGGTAAGAGACACTGTGAGTCATTTGGGAAGAAGATAATGAAGGAAAAAGAACTCTATTAGTAGGCAAACAGTAATATAGGAGGAACAAAAATGTACTTTGCTCTCATTGCAAGAAAAAAGGACATGCAGAATGTAGTTGCTAGTTTAGACCCAATGTCACATTAGCATTTGTAATCAACAAGGTCATGTTGATAGAGTTTGCAAGAATAAGGAAACTAAGAACAAAAAGAAACCTGGTCATACTACAAAAAAGGCTGAGGTTGCTGAAAAATGCCTATTTATGGTAGGCAGTGGTTTAAGTACCTCTGATGCAAAACAATGGTTGATCAACAATGGTGCTTTAAACCACATGACCCTAAAAAGTCATTGTTTGTTCAATTAGATGCCAACTATCATTCAACAGTGAAGATTGGCAACGAGGTTGTACCTTTGTGTAGTAGGGAAAGGATTAGTAGTAGTCAACACAGCAACAGGCATCAGTTATGTATATGAGGTTTTGTTGCTACATGAAATTACCCAAAATTTACTTTGCATGGCCTAAATGTTAGATGACAATTATATTTTAATTTTCAAAGATAAACCACGCACCATCTATACTCTTTCGAGTGTTTTCTTAATGAATGTACTAATGAAACATAAGTGTTTTGCTATGAATTGGAATAATGTATGCATGCAGGCTACTGAGTATAATTCAAATTCAGCAACTCTCTGGCATAGAAGATTAGGCCACTGTAATTATGCCTCCTTAAAACATCCTAGTTTTGTAAATTTAGTGAATGACCTTCCCAAGTTTTCAAGTGGTGCTCCAGCTTGCAAGACGTGCCAATTTGGCAAATTATCAAGAAACCCTTCAACTCGTCTGAGCAGAGCTAATGACAAGCTAGGATTGGTACATATAGATGTAAAGGGCCCTTTGAGTGAAACTTTCTTAAATGGAAATAGGTACTACCTTATTTTCATCAATGACTTCACCAGGATTTGTTGGATTTACTTCATGAAGGAGAAATCAAAAGTGTTTGGCTACTTCTTGAAGTTTAAAGCTTGAATTGAAGTTGAAATAGAAAAGAAGATTAAAATGTTGAGATTTGATAATGGCGGTGAATGCTCATCACTTGAATTCACTCAATATTTGAGCAAAGAAGATATTCTTCATCATTTCACTACTCCTTATTACCCTCAACACAATGGAGTCAAATGAGAAAAAGAATCGAACTATACTAGAAATGTCAAGGTGTTTGCTCTATGAAAAAAATCTTCCTAAAAGATTTTAAGCAGAAGCAGTAAATACAGCAACCTATCTTCTTAATATTTTGCTTACTCATGCTTCTCAAAGAATAAGTCCCCATGAGGCATGGTACAATATTAAACCATTAGTGGATCATTTGAGAGTTTTTGGTTGCCTATGCTATCAACACATTCCTGAATAACTAAGAGACAAACTCGAACCTAAGGCATAAATTGGGATTCACAATGGGAACAATTTGCAAGCTAAAGCTTATAGAGTTTATTTGGTTGATTCTAGGAAGGTCTCTATCACTAGAAATGTCATTTTTTATGAAGCAAGTGAATGAAATTGGGAAAAACAACAACTTGTAGGCACCAGTTGTACACCAATCAATACAATTGGTAATAGTAATATTGATGATGAAGATGGGAGTGGTCTGGAAGTTGACCAAATCATAGATGATGAAATTGTAAAAGGGACCTGAACCATTGAAATGTGTATGACAAGTGTCAATTGGCTTTTATTAAACCAGCTTTATTTGAGGAAGTTGCTAATCATTCTGAATGGATGGCAGTAATGAGAAAAGAGTTAAAGATGATAGAAGAAAAATAATACTTAGTCATCAGTGCATAGACAAGATATAGACATGTGATCAGTGTTAAGTGAATCTTTAAAAGGAAACTCAACTCAGATGGGTCGTTGAATAAGTATAAAACCCGCTTGGTTGTGAAAGGATATTCTCAAATGGAAAGTATCAATTATTAGGAAGACTTTGCTCTTGTTGTAAGAATGGATACCATTCGATTAATCATTGCCATTGCTCCAGCTTGTAAGTGGAAGCTCTATCACCTTGACATAGAGTCAGCTTTTTTAAAAGGAAAGCTTAATGAAGAAATCTACATTGAGCAACCACTTGGTTTCGAGATTGAACCTGATAAAGGCAGGGTGTGTCGACTTCACAAGGCTTTGTACAGGTTAAAATAAGCTACACGAGCTTGGTACAGTAAGATCGACTTATTCCTGATGAATCATGGTTTCTAAAAGAGTCCAAATGAGGCCACTTTATATGTTTTAAAGAAGAAAGATCAATCTCCTTTAATCCTGTATGTGTACATTGATGATTTATTAATTACTGAAGGTAATTCAACTAAGGTTAATAAACTCAAGGAGTTAATAGAGAAAAAATTCAACATGTCTGATCTTGGGTTAATGTCATATTTTCTAAGAATTGAAGTCAAGTAGGAAGACGATGGCATTTTATTATGTCAACGGAATTATGTCAAAGAGGTTCTTAAACGATTCAAAGTGGCCCATTGCAAAGGTGTATCCACTCCTATGCCTATTTATGAAAATTTATCTCTTATGATAATGTCAAATTAGAGAATCCTTCTGAATATACGAGTCTCATTAGATGTTTTTTATACATCTATGCCACAAGACTCGAGATAATGCATACTATTAGTTTTTTGTCAAGGTTCATGCATCAACCATGCCAATCACATGCCATTGTAGCCAAAAGAGTATTGAGGTATTTGAATGGTACAATCACCTTTAGACTCAAATTCACCCAATGTCGTGAAATCAAATTAATGGGATATTTAGACAGTGATTAGGCGGGCTATGTTGATGATGCAAAGAGTGCCTCCAGCTTTGTATTCTCAATTGGAAATGGAGTACTTTCATGGTGTTCTCAGAAACAAGAGATTGTGGCTCAATCCTCAGTAGAGGCTAAGTATGTCTCTGTTGCAACAACAACAAACCAAGCAATTTGGTTAAGAAAAGTTCTCCATGACCTAGGATTCCCACAAACAACTACATCAGATTTATTTATTGATAATAAATCTACGATAGCTAAGTAAAAAGTCCTATGTTCCATAGACTTACAAAACACATTAGTGTCGAGTATCACTCACTGAGGGAAGCAAAAAAAGCAAGGTGAAATTGCTATCTCTCATTGTTGCTTAGATGATCAACTAGCCGACATAATGACTAAGTCATTGAGCAAGTAGAAATTTGAATATCACAAAGAAAGAATGAAGATAGTCAATGCAAGCATTAAGGGAGATTGTTAACTTGTAATGCTTGCATCCACGTGGACATAAAGGCATATGTAATCCGCTAGGATTCTGTGCAAAAATAAGAGTCTTTTGCTTAAACTCTATGACTTTACATGTTAAGTTGCATGAAGTTGGTTTATTAAATGTTTTACACTTGTTAATGGATCAAGAACAAGTATTAGTGTTTAATTAATGTTGTATCACTTGATATATATGTGCTGTTCTTATCAATGTGAATATAAGACCTTATTCGTTAATAACAAAGTAACTCTGTTCACCTCAGTTCTACTACACTTTAACACAGCATTATATCCTTCTTTGTTGTTAACAGATGTCACATACAAAAAATTTGATCCATGAGAGGAAGTTTTATTTTGCAACAAATTCATTTGTGCGGATTTCCACTTTAAGTAGGATCTCAAGATGTAAAGTAGTGTATTGGTGATGAGAGCAAATGAAACAATTGACATAAATTGAGCAGGTGGGTTGTTAAAGGAGAACTTAAGATTTCTCTAAGACGACCCAAAATATGAAGTAGAAATCTATCAAAACCTTGTTAGCTTTAGAGAACAGGCACAAAGTTTTCAGCTTGGCAATGGTTACCATTCTTCTGGAAGTGTAGAAAGAGCCTTTCTCTTTAATAGTATTTTCAATGCATCTTATATTGTGCATAATCTTCTTTTATTACAACTCTTCTTTAAGCTTATCATAATTAATTTAGAACAAATTATAATGCAGAGAACTCAGTTTGAAGCAAAATATCTGCTGGTAACTGGTTTTATGTGTGTAAAATGTAGGGCAAAACTCTGAAATCAACTACTTTACATTTAACCGGCCGTTGAAACTTCAAAGCGAAAAAGGGAATCTTAGGTAGGTATCGGAGAGGAAGTCCCATCGCAGCTAAGGATAAACTTTCTCATAAAGCAGAAATAAAAGAAACTAAAACAAATCAGCAGAAAAAACATAGAAAAAAAACAAGATATTCTCAAGTCAATCAGAAGGGATACAAACAGACTTAGTAGGGGCATGTAAAACAAGACTTTTTCCCCCTTCCAGACACAAGAAGAGAGGCATGATGTCTACAGACATTGTGAAAAGCAGCAATGTTCCCATTATCACCCCGGTAGACCACAAACTCCACATTTCCCAATCTGCATAAAGACGATAAACCTTCATTTGTTCTTGTATGTGACAATTGAGCCTATTTAACTGCTGGAATCAGAAAACAGGGCATCGTTTGTTAAATGGATAACATAAAGCACACCAGTTTTCCACAGCTAAGCGCGGCCCGAGGACCATGATAATATTATTTTAGTGATTTCCGGGAAAAGGGTAGAGAACTAAAATTGAGCTAATAAATCAAATTCAGGTCGACTATAGAATGCTCCCCCCTTCCTCTAACGCAACCAACACCTTGGAAAAGTCAAACTTTTGTAAAGAGCATGTGGTGCTACTGACTTTAATAGCCTTACCCCAGAGGCTCCCCACTTTCTTGAAAGTGTTTTCACACCAAAGATGGGGGGAAGGTTTTTAATTGTGATTCAGATGGATTGTTGGTCTCTCTCTATTATAAGGGAGTATGGGGTAATAATGCGAAACCAGATAGTGAAAATGTCTGAGTAGCTCTCCAATATAATTTTCATTTCCTCCACATCACTAAAGTTGATGAGTGGCTTAAAGACACCAAGAGGGTGAAAGGAAACGGGAATGCCTTCTTGGATGAGTCTTGATTGAATAGACTCGAGAGAAAAGGCTTCCCTCATACAAGCAACGGTACTTCTTTTGGTCCATTTGATATCACTGTCTGCAACATCCACATTAATGTCTACTAACTTGACTATCTTCTTAAATAGAGAATTAGTTGACTTAATCTTTGTTTTCTAGTTGGTTCAATAAGTTTTAGGACCTTGAATCAAGGCCTCCTTGAAAGTTTTCTTTAGCTTGCCCTCGTTCTCTTCTTCGCCAACTTTAGATTGATTTGCAGTTTTCTCGGAGATTGCCCTGTTTACGATTATTTGGTGACCATCAATCACTTTATGGTTGGCTTGCAAAATGGCCTTCCTCATTTCCTCTGTCAACCGGTAACTGACAAAGGCAAAGGTTGGCCTACCATTAGGCTCTTGAGCCCAACAAGATTTCCGTGCGAAGGCATCCACAACCATTCCGAACTCATGGAAGATTTCAGTCAATTGTCTTCAGGAAGACCTTGAGCTTAAACTTCCCATATACACCAAAAATAGTCTCTCTTTCACTGTTTATAAGTTCTCCGGTGGCCTGACCACCAAACTTCTAAGGTCGTCATCCACAGAAAGTAGCCACCGGCTGTGCACGCATCATCCGTACTCTCATCATTTTTAAATCTCTGAGGTCGTCTTCTGCTGAAAGTCACCACTACCGTGCACACATCACCGCACTCTCCTCATTTATTAAACTTTGAAAGATAAAACAATTGCTTTGAGATTTAAGCCTTTATCTCAAAGCAATTGTTTTATCTTTCAAAGTTTAATCACCTTTTTAGCAACATTAATTTTCAGTTCGATTTTCCTTTCAAGCACCATTACCTTTCAGCATTTATTTGCTTTTCAATACTTAATTTTCCTAATAGGATTTGTATATCTTTTCGGTTACTTGTTTATCTTTCTAGCACCTTTAATTCCAAGTTTAATTTTAACTCAAGAAGTTCTTTTAAGTTGGTGTCCTTCCTCATCTCCTCAGTAAATGACAAGGGTGAGAACCTTTAATTGTGTAACTAAAATCAACCGGCCAAGTTTACTTCCAATATCTATACCAAAAACAGTGTGAAACGTCCAACATCCGGGTTTCCTAAAATTTCCCCAAATACAGTGTGGAATCCTATTTTTGCAGTTCTACTTCTGCTTATTTGAAGCTTTCACTTTGATTCTATTCAAATTAGCTTGAAAATTGTTCTAACCATCTGTCATACAATCAAACATTGGGATTTTTTGGTATAGAATCAATGCTTGCAAGCAAGCTTTTAGTGGAATACGCAATTAATGTTTATGAAGGCAGCCACATGTTTGCATGTTAATGGATTTTCGGTATCTTCTTTAAAATCTAATTCTCAATATTCATAAAAAGATAATATAAGATATAGCTCAACTGTAAAGCCCAAAAGATGAGCCATAGTTGTGTCTGTATACATTTTTACTGAGCAGCAAATGCAGTTGATTTGACTGATGATCGAAACAGTATGTACAATATATAGATATATAATTAAAGAAGCAAGGACGAGAGCAATTAATAAAAGTTGTTGGACTAGGATACGTGATATATACTCCATGCTTATCTACAGATCAAATACAGACATGGAAGACTTGCAATTGCAGGCATGCTAAACTTAAACCCACTTGCTTATATACGGTTTATCATCCGAAAATTAATCTACAATCACTTAATATAATATATACCATTCAAGCAAACATTTTCAAACTGTAAAAGAGTTTTCTTTTCCTCATCTGCTGAAGAAAGTTCGGGGCGAGAAGAGCCGGCGCGGTGAGAACATCCCCATGTACCGAGGTGAAGCTACCCCGTCGATGGACCTATATTCCGACATGATGAACCCCTCTCTCTCCCGGTGGGCTCCGCCCCTCATCATGCGCCCATTGAAGGTCCCATATTTTACCAACTTCCCAACCCATGAATATTTCTTCTTTTGGGGGCTTTTGTGCCCTGCATTCATTTTCTCACTCAAGTATTCCTTCACCGCATGCAAGCTCTGCTCGAAAACCTCCATTGGTGGTGAAACCATGGGATTCCCTTCCACGCAAAGCTTCTGAAGCTTCTTCAGGCATCCGATGGAGTCAGGCAAGCTTGTTATTTTGTTGTAACTAACGTCCAATTCCACAAGGGAAACGAGGAGGCCAACGGAGTAGGGTAGGTTTTCAAGGTACTGGAAGTTTTGGCTTACATTGAGAACCTCCAGGTTGATTAAGTTCTCCAAGTCTTCAGGGAGAGACCCGAGGCAATTCAGGCGTGCATCCAGAACACGTAGGGAAGTCAGGTGCGTGACGGACTGGGGAAGGAAAATCAGCTTGTTTGAGTTCACTGACAGTTTCTTCAGGTTGATCAACTCAAATCCAATAGTGTCTGGCAGCATGGTAAGCTTGTTGAAGTTAGCATTTAATTCTTCCAATGACCTGCCAAATGCAAGAGATGTTTGCAGCTTAACAATTTATTAGTTAGGTCCATAGATATATATTGACAAATATATTAATTAAGATACTCTAAATACCAGATTATAAAACATGTATATATCTAAATGCAGTAATAATTAAGGCAAATGATAGTTCTATTCCTATTCCGATTCCATTATGTACAATACAAACCTGCAATTTTCAATAGTTTTAGGGAGAGTTTGGAGAAGGTTGCCCGAAACATTGAGAATCTTGAGCTTAGACAGACAACCTATGGAGTTCGGGAGAAACTTGAGCTGATTGGAGTGCACATCAAACACCAACAGGTTAAGTAATCTGGCGGTCAGGGACTCTGGTATGCTCTGTTAAGTCAATTCAAAGGAAGGAATATTATATCCACAAAATATTATTATACTACAACTTGTTACTCGGATTATTAAAAAGTCAAACACATTAAAGAATGTTGCTTAAATATTTGCAGCCGGCCCTTGGTCAGCAGCAACAAAACCGTACTGTCAAACCTCACAATTTCGTACGACTCAAGCCTTACATTCAATATCAGAGCCAGACTTTTTATATTTACAAAGTCACAATCAATTGGCAGTCGGAAAGGAAGGGTACTAATCCCAGACCAATGATGCTGAAAATGTACAAAAACCAGAGCTGAAATTGCCGAGGGATAATAATATTTAAAACTGCCAAAGCTTATCCCGATGGGCAATATCAGATTTGATCCTTATCACTTTGATAATTAACTTGAACAAATGATGAAATGGGAGAAGCAATGAAGAAAACAAATTGGAAAGGGACGAAAGAAAGAAAGAAAGAAATATTGCAGACTTAGAAGCTGCGCCGTACTCTTCGCACGTCATTAAACGTATAGTACCATGTATCAAATCTTAACGGTGATTCCACAAATCAGCTGTTAATGACGTGAGTGTATTTCACGAGATTTATATCAAAAAGATATTTTTTTTATTTTTGTAACTTAATTTTTATTCGAGGAAATAAAAGTAAAAAATATGTTTAAAGCAATAAGCAAAAAAATTTTTTTAATATAAAATATAAAATATAATTTTCTTAACTATTTTACTTTTCTAAAGGAATCAATAATCAAACGGAAATTGAAAAACAATTATATATATTTGTTAGTATTTTTAGCAAATATCATAGTTTTATTATTTATTTTTATATTTTAACTTGTTTTTGTCCTAGTATTTATTAGTTGTGCTATAGTATAGCTAACTAAATCCTAATTTTTAAGGTTTAATACTCAATATATATTCAATCCTAAAATGATAGTGATACATGAATGAATATAAGAAAACAAAATATATTCACTTTTATTTCTAAAGTGAAATCTCAAGTTTAAACTAAAATAAATATTACTGTATTAGAATTGAGTCAAGTTATTTGCTTGAGGAATATTCATTCGTTTTAATTATTTAATTAATAATAGAACTAATAAAGCCAAAAAAAAAAAAAAACCAAATGCAAGTGTTATTAAAAAGGATTGTGTTCAAAGGTACTTCTGTCAGAAAATCTGCATGAATGAAACGTGCACCATGTCCTGTAAAGTCTAAACTTAAGGCTGTTGCCTTCTACTAAAACCATTGACTGCGGCCTATCGGGTGTCTAAAGTTTAATCAAGTACAATTTTAGGCACTCAATTATAGGCGAACCCAAAGATTAAGTGAATTAATTAACTTGCACCCTGATTTATGTATAACTAGTAAAAGAGAATTAATTTAAAATCTTTTATTTTATTTACATTTCTATAAATATTATAGGATATATTCTTTTCTTTTATAATCTTTTAAGACATTTTTTTTTAAAGTAGAGAATTAATATAGCTCTATTGAAGCGCTGTCGTTTCTCTCTAGCACATATAATTACTTGTTTTTCTTTATTTGCACTTCATACTAAAGGACTTTGAAAGAAAATAAACATAAGACAGGCGATTAACTTGTCTGTGGATGGAAAAAAAAATGTATATATTTAACAATGGACGGCAGAACTTGAAAACGGCAATTAAAGTAACCAAGGTTTTTAACAACTTTTAGGCTGCTTTGACCGAAATAGGATAACTGCATCAGATACAAAAATTGTTGAATATTTGCAATCAAGTATTGTAAGATGGGAGAGCGATATGAAAGAAACAAAAGCCAGAAAACATAGAGAGATAATTTATTAAGAGGGCCTTTCCTTCATGTACGTATAAATTGTAAGTTTAACCAATAAAAAAAATCGATTGATAAAACTTAAATATGATTTCAATACGATTATTAACCATACGATAACTAAAAATTTAGAACATGATCTTAAAATTACTTGTAATTATTGGGTTTTTTTTTTTTGAAAGGCTTATAGTTATTGTTAATAGCATAAAAAGATGAAATACCAAAATTTTAGAATCTTATTCCTCTCTATTTTAACCTTTTTTGTTCACTAATAAAAAAATATATGGATAGTTTATGGTTCAGTGCTATATACATGATCGGTGATAATAGATGTATTTAGCTTATGAGGGAGGAATATATATATAGAGAGAGAATGATAAGTTGACGAGTTGCATGCTTGTATTTGATCATGCATGTGATCCAAAAAGTTTTGAGAAAATAATATCAGGGAATAATTGAAAGGTGAAAGGGATACCTCGAGATTATTGTTGGAGAGGTCTAACTTGCAAATAGTAGCCAAATTCAGAGAAGGATTTGGAAGTGAATCCAACGACATCGCACTCAAATCCACAATCTCAAGCCTCTCTTCCTCCATACATCTTCTCCTGTGATCTCCCTTGTCGCTCAAACCCATGGCCATTCTCACTTGCTGCTGCTGCTGCTGTTGCTGTTCGTACATCATTTTATTAAGACTTGTCCCAAAAGTGTAAGAAATTGTAGTAGAAGAGAAAGAAAAGAAGATGAGGAAAGCAAAGAAAAGGGTATTTTGATTTGAATCGTTGTTGGTTTTATAAGGGAATTAATTGCGAGGACGTACGGAGGAGCAATGAGGAAGTAATAGAATAGGACAAGAGATGTGCATGACGTATGTCCAAAGACTTAAACAGAAAGAAGAAAAAGTACAAAGAGCCGTATGTTTAGGGAGTTGCGTGGCCACGTCTCCCACTTGATAAAGTCAAACCATCCCGTCCTTTAGTTTCTCTTCGGCTGCCCGCGAATCTCGCTCTCGTTTCTCATTATTCAGCCTTCAGAATGAATCCAACTTGGATTACTTTTATCATATCTTACTTACACACATTACATGAAATTACCTACCAACCAATCATGGCCACTAGGGAGGACTGAAAACGAATCACTGCTATCTCCAACTTCAACTCTTTCTAACGACGACATTTGGATACTCTTATCTTTTCGGTTGTTTGCGCTGAGCATTGCCATTAATAATAATGAATATGATTGATTATGATTGTTTAATAATTATGCTTATTCAAATTATTAAATTTATTTAAGTGATTATATTAGAAAACGAATAATTATGTTTGTTAGGAATAGATAGTTGTGTTATGTATGTCGTGAATAAGCATCTTTACTTATAAAAAGGATTATATGATTTTTTGAAGATTGTGTGAAAAAAAAAAAAGAAAAGAGAAACAATTTGCAATTATTCTCTCCACCTTCTTCAAATTCTTCTTAAATATTGTTTTGTTGCAGAAAAACTTTATTTGAGTTTGATAATCTCATCATACTCCAATAAGTGCTTAATGAATTGATTTTATCAATGCAATATGTGATCAATCACTAGACTTTTCTTTGAAGTTTATATGTCAATAACTTTTTTACGCACTATAAGTGAAGCAAATAAAATCTTAAAAAAAGTTACATAGATATACGTCTTAAATCCATTCTCTAACATTTTTTATTTTTCATTCTCATGTTACAAATGTTTTCACTCTCTTGAGATTTTAAAATGGGACAAATTGTCTTCTTTGAGCAATGAGAAACAAACATTTACCAAATGTCAAGGTACTTTTCTTAAAAATTGAGTCACACAATGGATAACTCTCCCTTGTTCTATAATTTCTAGAGACAAAATTTTTTGTTAGCTCTTAAATATAAGGTGATTTTGGAAATAACCCTCTCAATAATTTTTATTGTTCTTAGCCAAGAGATAAGATTTTTGGATAAAAATACCCTTAAATGAACCTTCTCATTCACATGCACTGTCATATAGGTGTAGATAAGTGAAAAAAATGCCCAGAATTTGGTGAAGGACAATTTGTTAAAACCATCTTCTTGTTGCAGGAGATGATTTTCTCTGATTTATTGGACATTGATGTAAACAGAAATGCTAGGTATATAACATGGTAGGATTAATAAATGATCATTTGATTCATTCTCAAATATAGGAAAGTGTTCAAATAAGTTTAGAGCAAAGTAATCAGTGACAGCAAAGAAGTTGGCAAACCAAGGTAAGTTAGGGAATGTTGAATTTTTTGTTGTGTTTGAGTGTGTTTAGTGATTTGAATGCTACATTGGTTGAGAACGTGGTTTAGGGTTTTATTACTAAATGGCATTTGGTATTGTTTAAAGTTGCAACAATCCATATTATAAACATGGCATGTCACAATAGATTATATATGGATGCCGCGTCACAATAATTGCCTACCAAGGCATGGCATGTAACAACTACTGTTAAAACTATTAAACCTTGCTTAGGCTGACAATTTCAGATGACCAATACCTAAATTTGTCTTCCATACTACCTTTCGTTACATTTACCCTATAAGCAAAGCAAAAGGATTTTAGTTGCACTAATAAACTACAATAACAAACAATTGAAATATCAAGTTAGTCCATTAATAGATAACAAGCAAAAAATATGAATGTAACAAACTACACGGCATATAATTCATTCGTACTTACACATTTTCAATAGTTCCACCTAGAATTGCTTTGCATGTAAGAAAGGTACTAGACATGACTCACGTTTTTAGTTAAGCTGACCCATTGTCTTCGTCTACAAGATACCTTATGTTATCAGACATTGTCTTTCATAATGGACAAGTGTTGCATATGCGACCAAGTTATCTACAAGTTAAACTAGCTTTCCATCATTGTTGTCGTGAGAGCGACGACTGACTTGGAGACAATACTGGATTTTGGATGGAGCTACAAACAACGATAGGCAATTTTGTCTATTATGCTGTACCTCTAGCATTTTGAACATCTCCGTGGTCGACTACTTCCTCGACTGATGGAATCCTTCTCTACCTAGGTCTTCTTACTTGACCTCGCTAAGGAAATGCCAAAATGATAATTTTTTTCATGTCAAGGGGAACATCGCAGTCACTGGGATGCCCAACTGTGTAGAATTCAATGACTTCACATTTACACTAACTGTGAATCCAATGAACTCATGGTTAAAGCACAATGTCAAAGTTAAATTAATTACAAATCAAATAAGAAACAAGGATATTTGTACCTTATTGCCACAATGGCATGGCTACATGGTAGTAGATTTATTTGAAACTCACAACAAGAACATGTTTTCCTGGATAGGTTCACAAGTCCATCCATCCTCTCATCATTAACTTCAAACTCCATTCGATCGATGGATTTAACTACAAAGTGATGAGCATCATTGATTTGTTTACTTAACTGCCTCACAACCTAAAGACTGACGGGAGTGCTCACCTTGACGGCCTCTTCATATCAATCATGGAACTAATGTTAGAATATGATTCTACTGAACTTGATCAGAACCGTGATTTGCATTTTTCTTGCATGCTTCAAGCACGAGTTAATACATTTCCTCAATGTTGGATGTCATGAGTTGATATTGCCTTACCAGTGATCGTGCATGTGCCCATCTTTCAAGGCTTATTTTCATAAGGTTAGAGTGGGCTCTTGCGTGTATCTACTTTAATTGGTTCATATGTCTATTAAAATCAAAAACCTTATAGTAGTCTTGAGCAAAGGTGAAAATCACTAACACATCATTGCACTTGAACTTGCTTTTGAAGTTTTTCTTAACGTGGTAACCACATAGACCGTGCTGTGCATTTGGGTATGCATTTTGGATTGTTTTCTTGATGCCAAGATGTTAATTAGAAATGAACATTATGTTATCAAAACAACCAATCGCATGACACAAGCTGTTAAGAAACGAAGTCCACAAGTCTTCATCCTAAATATGGCTTATGTCAAATGCAACCAGATATATGCACCCGTTCGTGTCTTTGTAGACAACAACAAACAGAACACCCATAAACCTACCTTTAAGATACATGGCATCAATAGCAACTACAAGACGTATTACATCCCTGAACCCCCAAATACAAGCCTTGTAAACTAGAAACAATATTTGAATCGTTGTGCCTCATTAGTAGCCACTGTTGTGACTACACCAAGATTTTCACATTCTGACATATGGAAATACAAGGATACAAGTTGGAATGACTTATCCGAGAGACCAAAAACAAGCCTCTTCACATACTACTTCGCTTGTCGAACCTTACCATACAAGCATTCCAATCCCTAATGGACTCTCAGCTCACTAATTATGTCCTTCAGTCTCAATGCTACTCCATGAGCTTGAAGCTTATGTTACATAAGTTTACCAATTATCTTCGCACTCTTGGTTCGAAACCGTCTTTGCAAAGCATCAATAGTACATGAGTGTGCATTGTGGAAAGTTTGAACTTGCCAATAATCTCCTTTAGATAACTTTATTCCTCGCACACCAAAATTGCATGCCTTGTCCTTACAAGCAACCTCAAAATGAATTTGACATGATCTTTTAACTCTTAACTCAAACAGCATTTTTAGCATTAACATGTTCAAAGCTCGTTTTAATTTGACCTTTGAGAAAAATATTTTTCTCAATATAAGTGATCATCGATTGATATGGACTCCTCTATGGTAACTGTTTGTAAGGAGAACATTTATGCACCAAGAATATGCCACGTACAAGATATCTCTACATTACCCTTTTCCTAATAATTGTCATAAGGCAATGTCTCAAGTGAACTAATCTCGTTCTCATCAGCTATGGGGTTATTGTCCATGAAGTCATCACACTGGACATCTCCTAAATCTCAACTCCATCATGTTCTATTTTGCCTTTAACATGATTGCAATTCGAAATGTCGTTGTCATCAACCTAGTCATCCTCTAAACTGTCATCATCCCAGCCATCTAGCCCATCATCAAAATCGCCATCAAAGTTATCTTCACTAACAGGGAACAACCATCTTCACCCTAATTAAATGCACCATCATCCTTGAGCATCGTTGTGTCATCCTCATGTGTCACAATGTCATCCTCGAGCATCATAATGTCATCTTCACCTAAGCATTGCATTGGTTGGACAAAAGTAAGTTATTGGTTTGATGCACATGCCAATTGAAATTGTGTAGCCAACTGTTGTGAGAATGTTATGCATTTACCAAGCTGCACAAACTCATGTGCATACGTCGCTCACCATATTTTTGGGTTAAGGATTGAATTTTATAGTAATTGTGAAAGAGTGTAAATCTGATTTTGATTGAAGTGATTACCATGTTGTACAACTTCTTTATGTGGTATAACATTTGTTTGGCATTCTTTAATAGTGACATACGCTATCAAAACATTCCTCTACTCTAACAGAATTAACGCAACATCTTCATTGTCATTGATAACTCACCATGATAGCTCTCTAGACATACAAATTAATACATAAGACTCGATTTTGTGATTCTGTGAGTTTACCCTAACAACATTGTCTACCAACTTCATTGGGCCCTCAAACGACAAATACTCCTAACCCATCTCATTTGTGACTCACCACCCTTGTAAATGCCATTGACTTAATGACCTCCATGTCTTATCACAAGTTGCACAATTGGCACACCATTATAATTTTTTTTAAAAAAGGTCAAAATGTATTCACACATTACGTTGCTACATGCCATATTTTAAAATTTTGCTACATGCCCCATTGAAAACATTTTGTTCTTACACATCATGTTCATAAGAGATTAGCAGGTATGATGTTCATCCTACCATTTGCCACCCCATAAATT